TCTCAGCCAGGAAAACATTCCTGTTCAGTGAGCACATTTTCCTGAAATGCTTGTGCATCTTGCACAGAAGATGACACACTTCCCCTAAAAGACATAACCCCCTCTGCATGAGTTCCATCCCCAGGCATGCCATGAGGTCACTGTCCTGGGTTCAAAGCAGGATCCGAGAAATTCAACAGAAGGTGTTTCGTCATGCTGAAGGCGATCTCCTGTTGCCCCCCCAGGCTCCACATCTACCTCTAGGGGGCAGGATTTAGCTGCAAGATACATTTGAAAACTTTTCAGGATGCAAACACACAACCATCTATAGAGGGACACACATGAAAAGCACAGCCTAGTTCAAAAGCCACTCTTTTCTGGGTGGAGCAAACGGCAAAACTTTGGTGAAATGGTGGTGTCAGGAGGACACTGAAGAGGCTCCCACAGCAAAAATATTTTCCTGTGGAAGAAAGCAAAGCCAGGAAACCAGCAGAAGATAATGTGATTACAGTCTCCCAGGGCAGCAACCCTGAAAGCCTCAGGACAGGCTGCGGCCGCCAAGGGCTGGGATTTCATCTCAGGACACAAGCGTGGGATGCACTGGGAGTGTGATAGAGTGTGCCCTGTGATCACACTAGGGGGCTGGGGGTGGATTGAGCAACCTTCAGAGGTTTAATTACCCTCCTATTCATATATTCATGGTCACCTATGCAGCAGGTTCACTGATGTGAGTCATGCTCTCCACACTATCATGGTGTTGGGGTGTCTCCTTTGGGTACTGCAGAGGTGTTCTTCTGTTGCTTGCATGTTTGGGCTTCAGCAACAAATCTGGAAATTTGTGTCTCACCAAACAAAATATTTCCTTTGATCCATCTGACTGAAAACGGCTTTTGTTTGGTGGGAAATTTTAGCTGGTGTGGAATGAGAGGGAATGGGAGGTTCTGGAATGGAAGAGTCTGGAATGGGACTTTCTTGAATGGGAGGTTCTGGAGTAGGAGGGTCTGCAACATCCTCTCAGAAACTGGATATCTTGAGTGGCGTCTGGTGCATGCTTCATGCTTTTCTGCCTTTAGAGAAATTCTGAAATGTAAATGCCATCCAAACTGATCATGAAAATACAGAATGTCACCTTCTTATCCAAAATGCCATTTGACTCCAGCCTGAGGACACCCAGCCTATCACGGTGCTTTCCTCGGCTGAACGTGTAAAATGAATGAAAAACGATGATTCAGCAAAGAACTAAAGGATACAGAGCAACCTGCAGGATTGCAGACTGTTTGCCCTTAGAGGGAGTGGTCTGTAAGCGCAGTCAGACGCACATGCATCACACATGCATCGGACTGAGCTGTGTGAACCACTCAACTGGACACTATGGTTCACAGTCCTGACAGGAAGGTCTCTCATTTGCTAGAGCAGTGGTTCTCAATCCTGTTCCTGGCGAACCACCTGCCAGAATGTTTTCGTTCCAACCCTACCTTAATCAAGCTTATATGGTCCTTAATAGGCTAAAGCCGGTTTCAGACCGAACACGGCAAACACTACACTGCGCTATGTGCCTTTGTCGAACTTTGACCGCTGCGCACTGTGACGCATTGTCTCGCGATCAATAGAAACAAGGAACCAAACCGGACACAGAAAACGAAATGGAGGAAAAACTTATATTGTCCGTGTCTGAGTTCCCAGAGCTATATCACACAAGCGTATAATCTTTTTGAATGCGAAATATACATCGTCGCTACTGATCTGGAGCCAAAATGACAGGAGAGAGTTTTGAAAACCACGCCTACTCTTTGCGCAGAAGCCTCGCGGCGAGCACAGCGCATGCCGCGTTCGGTCTGTAACCAGCTTTAGCCTATTAAGGACCATATAAGCCTGATTAAGGTAGGGTTGGAACGAAAACATTCTGGTAGGTGGGTCGCCAGGAGCAGGACTGAGAACCACTGTGCTAGAGGCTTAAAATAAACAAGTATAATTTAGCTGCGTTTCAGCACAACTCCCGCCCAAAACCCCCAAGGGACAGATGGTGGCTCTTTGACCCCCAGCAGAGAGCAGCCATTTATTTTGGTGGAGGCTCCACCCTCAGCCGCCATCATCAACTAGTTGCACAGTCGATGTCCCAAACACCCTGCAAGTGTACTGATCTTCGCCAGGATCTGGAGCTGGGGACCACGCCAGGGGGTGCCGGGCTCAGCAATAGGCCTCATCTGGGCTTGTTATGGGCAGCAACGGCTAAGAAGCAGGCACAGGCTCAAAAGCCATCTCATGTGGAGCAGGCCTGGCAGAACCAGGTCCAGTCAGCTCCTTGGCATGTCTCTTGTCTGCCAAACACTGGAAAACAACTGCAGCTAGTCATGTTGCATGCAAAGCCACCCCCAGCCTCTCCTCCACCTCTCCAGCCCTGCCTCCATCTCCCCTGGCCTCCTCCCAGCCTCCACCCACCTCCCATGGCCTCGCATCACTTCCCTTCACCTCCACCCACTTCCAAAGCCCTTCCCTCACCTCTCACTACCTCCTCCTGCTACCCCCACCTCCCTGCGCCTCCGCCATACCTCCACAGGCCTCCTTTGTATCAGAGAGACATGGCAGCCATGGTCTGTGGATGTGAAAAGTATCAAGAGCTGAAATGTTTGCTGCCATGAAATGACTTGCCCCACCCCGCCACCCCCAACCTCCAGTCGGGTTTAAACAGAACAAAATACACAAAAGCAGGAACCAGGACTTCCACGCACAGGGCCTGTTTGGACCTGCTATTTGCTGGAGCCGCTCCGAACCTAAACAGAACCTCCTGTTTACGACAGTGGTGGTGATTGACGGGGGATCCGGGGCTCCAGTGCTGCCTGAAAACGGGGCATCACGTCAGCAGGAACAGAGCCTCTTTGTCTGGATCTCACCAGAGAAATTTTCCTGAGTTTTGCACTACTTTCCACTAAATATTTATCTTTTGTCTTTCCCCAACTTTAATAACATTGAGCAGCTTTGTAGAAAAGAAAATTGAGTCACGCGCCCAGTTCATCAGAAGGAAGTAGTGGGTTCTCTGCCCGAGACCTAGGGGGTGCTGTCCGAGGCCTGCTTGTCCCTCCAGTATCTGGCACTAGTTTCTGGTCATAAGGATGTGACTTTGTGTCCCCTGGTGTGACAAAAATATCACTAAACCCGATGACAAAAACAGTCATGACATGTCAGTCATGATGTTGAGGTGTCTTCAGGAATGAGGAGTGGAAGGGTGGAGCAAGGTGGATGAGCCAGGCATTGGAGCAGGACACCCTGCATCTTCAGTTGGGGGGCGCAATAAGTTATCGTAGATAACTATATCGAAGAGAACTCCATCGGCAGTCTATCGCTCATCCTGCTAGTCCCCGATGTAGAGGGTTGAATTTCAGACCGTATATTAAACCACTGAAATTGTGGCAGCGTATTTGAAACAGCGAAAATAACGGGACTGAATATTGTAAAGCAGAAATAAGAGGACTGAATGTTACTGCCTGAATAAAACACATGGAATATTTTCAACTGAATTTGTTCTTTTGAAATTTATTTTGAGGCAAAATTAAATGAACTGAATTCATGTGGTTGAATTATAAACATGCACTTTAAAATACGTATGTTTTGGAACTTAATTTTGGATTATTCTATAAGTGTAATTCACAACGTGTTTTTTTTCATCAACGACTTTTGTCATTAATTTACTTCCACACCCCTCTTGGTTGTCGACTGCGAGTGACGTCACTCCCCATACAATCACGCCCCACAGTATAGACCCACCCCTGACCCTTGTAAGACATGAGAAATGCAATTCCAAATGGACTTTGCTTTTTCATTTGAAATGTGGCAGTGTTCGTTCGCGAAAGCGAAAAAGCAAACGGTAATGCAAAATTTGCAATTGCATTTGAATTATGTCACACTTTATGCGTCCACATATGGAAAATGCAATTGCAAATGCAATTTGCAATTCCTTTTGAAAAATGTCCGGGATTTCCCTCCATAAGTTCTGGTCAGGGAGCCTGATGAGTCTAACCTGTGTCCCCTGAACAGTGAACTGTGCCTCCGGGGCTTTTCTGGTGAAAGTTGAAGCTTATCTGCCATGATGAGCAATTAATGTCCAGGACCCTGCTGGCACCTCAGGGAGGATGTGACCTTTCAGCCCAGCTGTGTGTACTGCCAATCCAGTGCCACTTAACTAAATCACCATTGGTTGACCTGGACCAGTGCCTTAGCTACAGTGCCCCCTCCTGGTGATTGTACTGGCGGAAGCCCACTGGCTGTGTATACCTGTGAGTAGCTTTCACTCTCTATCGCATGCAGTAATGAACATTCTAAATGACTAACACCTCATGATTTGCTTTTTTCTCATCCCATGTCATGGTAGGGACAAGACAAATTTCTGCTGTGTAGGTTGACATATTCAGCTGTGTAAACAGGGCAAATATAAACTTGCTTGTTTGTTCACTTGCAAAGACCGACTACTGTACTGATTTACTGTGTTTGGGGTGGTGGAGGGGGTGGGTAGGTGTTGCTATGGAGACGCTTAATGATGTGCACTGGTGTGATCCCCTTTATGAAATGCGTACAGTGCAGATTTACAGTGCCATGGGGGGTGTAGGCAGCCCCCTCTTCCTCAGCCCCCGTTCCCTGCTTTCTGAGCCCACAGGTTAAACCGTGGGATTCCAAACTTTAGGAAAACCCATTTTCCCACATTCCCACAGTGGGAACTGGCATTCCATCCAAATCTTTGTGTTGAGGTTTAGTCAGGGGGGCAGTTCCTGCTGGATTTCACAAGGAAGCCTCCCCATAGCTTGGATACGGGTCCCCAGGGTCTCTGTGGGCAGTTTTAGGACCATCTATTACATTTCCTCACCTCCTATACATGATGCACTGAATGTAATTCACAATATAAATGTTTTTCCCATGACAGAGGAAGAGGGACAGAGGACAGATATTTCTATTAAAGGTTTCACAGTACCATATGGGGAGAATTAGCCCTCAGCATGACATTATTTACAATAACAACAGCAGTAAAATCATCTTTGTTCCAATACATAATTTTACTTTGACCCACATTTTACAATGATTTCTAAGAAATTCTCACAATGTGAATTATAAACACACAACAATGTATACATATTAACTGTATATCTGACTTTTTATCCAACATGTAAAAACTCATAATCTCATAAGGGTTTTTCTCATAAGCCTATGTCACACCAAGACTGATTCAGATCACACGTCCATGTTAATGTTGCATCACTGAGTTTTCAGAATACTATTTCCACATCCATCTGTAAAAATCTATATTCATATAACACACTTTTAGCACAAAGTTTCAGAAATTCCTGCTGAGACAGAAAATTCACTGAAACATAAATCTGTCATGCCGAAGATGCTCTTGACACTCCAGGGCGCTCACTGGCTCTAAACAATGCACTTCTCACGCTTATGTGATTTACAGAAATAAGTCAAATTAAGTTTCCTTTGAAAGATACATACTTGATGTGTTTCCATGGCTATTGTGTGCAATCAGAGGCAGTGTTTCTGCACTATTTAAATTGATAAGAAAAATGTTTTTAAACAAACATTCTGGAAATTCCTGCTAGTCCATGTGCATGTCAAGGATAGAGACTAAACAAAAGAAAAAGCAGAAAGCCACTAATATCAGGTGCTACCTCATTATGTGACTGAACTGGTGAACTAACAGCATATCAGAGGCCAAATTAACTTAATGAAAAACATGAAGAAATTGCGGAAAATCCTGTCCTCCCATTACCCGACCATGACTGCATGACACCTACCCTTCAGGACAGGGGACAAAGAACTCCACCCAGCTGCAAGGAAGTGGAAATGAAGCCATGAGGAGGAGCCCAGTGTTTGGGGCCGGGATCAACCCCCACAAACCAGTAGTCTGTGGAGATTCCCACACTGCCAACTCTCTCTGCTTTTTGTGGTTTCTGTGTGACAACAAGCAGGAAAACAAGTTTTTAATGCTGACAGATAGAGCCTCATCCAGGGACAGATGCTGACTATGAGTTACATGGGAATCTGGACTTTTCTGTTATTTATGGCTGCCTATTTCCCAAGGATGTTGGGCTGTGCAGAAACAACAACAGGCAAGGTACAGAGTCAGACAGGTATGCGGTCACCTGACCAAGGCCTCACCCACCGGTTGACATTTTCTGATGCTGGGTTGGAACCACAGCATGACCAGGGAGGGGAAAGTTTATTACCTTCACACAGACGCAGGCGGTGAGATTGTCAAGACTCAGACTGATGCCAATAAGCCACGTCCACAAGGTAAAAAGGCACCACAAAAAGACCATACATGAACACTGTACAGTGACCAACAGCAAAGGGATAGGGCTTAGAAAGCACAAGAACCCCAAAAGACAGACAGGCACACCAGTCCAGTGATGGCCACGAGGCCCCGAGTGACACTAACACACTACTGGATGGCATGTCTGACAGTCTGCATGGGCACAGCACCCTTGATGCCCCGTAAATGGTGGCATCTCTGCAATTGGGAAGTCGTGATGGGGCAAAGCCCCCACTGCATTTGCTCTCAGTCCAGTCCCCAGTGCAGCAGCCCCCATGCCGTCCATAGGAGGTGTGGAAGTGCGTTTTTCAAAGGTAAGTCCCACCCATTTCTGTGCTTTAAGCCAAACTTCACAGCCATAAGGCTAGGGGGGGGGGGGAGTGGAAAAACAGGGGGGCTCCCCTGAAAGAGAACACCCCCCTCCACGCTCCATAGTCAGAGGTCAGCGATCCTCGTGCAGCAGGAAGAGCTTGATAGCATCAGGCAGGGGGAGGGACGGGATGGCCCCCAGGTGACATTTTCCGAGTGCCTGGCGGACACATATGCGGCAGAGATGGGTCAGCCTCTGAGGGATCCCTAGAAGTAGGGGGGACAGAGGCACAATACTATATATAAAATCAGGGAAGTTATTAACTGATCATGTCTCAGACTGTATAGAATGACTGATGCCTGTTATGTTGGGGTCCAGGAAAGTAGTGTGTGTGTGTGTGTGTGTGTGGAGGGGGGGTGTGACATGAAAGGGGCGGGTTCTCAGAAAAGGGGGTGCTTCCAAAGGGGCGTGTCACAGTGTTTGAGTGTCACATCTAAATGGGCATGTCTTTTTCTATAGTGCCGAAAGGCCACTCACTGCGAGCCTCCTGGTAAAGCCGTAATGCCTCAGGCTCCACCCTGAGCCTGACGCGCCCCACAGGTTCCAAGTTAGGATGTTCGTCCCAGGGCACCAGGTTGGGGTTGGCGCCGTGCTCCAACAGCAGCTCAACGAAGGCAGGCTCACAACCGTGTCGCAGCACAGCGTCCAGCAGGCAGGCAGCGAGGCCCCGCTGCAGTGCCTCGCGGCACACCGGGCCTGTGTAGTTGTAGTCGGGGTCGGCACCAGCCTGCAGCAGCACACGGAAGCAGCCCAGGTGATGATAGGTGGCGCTGATGTACAGGGGGCACACCACCAGCGAGGACAGCGTGCGCGCACTGAACAGGGGCCGCGGCCCCAGCTGGTGGTCCACGTCCACGTCTGCATCAAACCTGGGGGGGGGAGGTGGTAGGTCAGGCTCCAGTGCCAGCTCTGCAAGGCCCGTGGGGCCCAGTTTTGGAGCCACCTGTCAGGGTGACCTGCGTCGGTGACAGGCGGCAGCGCTTACCTGATGAGCTCCTTGAGGATGTCCACCCTGCCCACCCGTGACGCGTGGTAAACAGGCGTGCTGCGGTGGTGCCGGCTGCCGTTGGGGTCCGCGCCTGCCTCCAGCAAGATTCGCACACAGTCCAGGTGCCCATTGACTACGGCCACGTAGAGTGCAGTCTGGCCCTTGACGTCAACCAGGTCCACCTCAGCACCCTGGCTGATGAGGAAGGCCACGCAGTCGCTGTGACCTGCCGTGGCAGCGATGCGCAGTGGGGTGCATGGGAGCCAGCCGCAGCACCAAACTGACTTCTCATTGATGCGCCTGTATGTTGTCGGTGAAGCAGCACTGCAGTCAGGTTGCGGTCAAGGTGTGGGTAAGTACACTTTGTGGATATGCAGTTGGTATTGCATATCAAGCTATAGTTAAAACCATGGCAGTGTATGAAAAGCATGCAGTCAGCATGCAGTCAGGGTACAGACAGTCAGCATGCAGTCAGGGTGCAGACAGGCAGCCTGCCTTACCGTTTAAAGCTGTTCTCCTGCAGCAGGCTGTGCAGCGTGTCCAGGTCGCCCACATAGGCAGCGTTGTGCAGCCGCATGTCATCACACTGCTCCAGCGGCTTGTCACAGTACTGCTCCTGCAGCCACTCCTTCAAATTACGGCCTAGGGGTGGGGAGTCGGGAGATGGAAATCAGGGTGGGTCACACTCTTGCACTACAGAGAAAGGTACCACATTCTCCATTTATATAGACTAGTTATAAAGCTGCAGGTTATGTTAATTACATCGGGGGAAAAAATCCGAGAAGTAAATGAACTCATTTAAACACCAAAATTACAAATAACAGACAGAATGTGGATCGGAGGAACAGAAGGGGCGAGCTTTCGACCCGTCAGTCAGTGAGAGGGCCAATAGGACGTCGTTTTTTTTACCCGCCCCTTGATGACTGACAGCACCGCCCATGGCGGAATCCTGTGGACCCCATAATATTTTAAAGTCTATTTGCCTGCACTCGCTAATCATACCGCGACGTTCCTAATCTATGGAGCAAAAGCGTCGGACGGATAATGTCGGATACCTGCGGGCGAGGTGCCGGACAGATCCGAAACCGTCACCACTGGATTGCCGATATTAGGCGGATCGTCGTCTCCGTCTAAATCCCCCCCGTCTGCCATGTCCGCCTAAGAAAAGCTTTAGGGTTTACTCAGACGTCGCTCTTGTCCGCAGTGTGTATTCTGCCTTCGATCTGCCGGATAGCTTTATTTCGTCGGTAAATACGTCCACAAAGCTGACATGGAAGCAGGTATCCTCCTCTATGCGTCGGTTTCCTCTTCCTAGTTCGGGCACGGCATGGTCACCCGCCTCCAGGGGGCGCACGTGAGTTCGGGCGGCAAGCGGACCCCGGGGCTCTTCGTATACATAACCATCACGCGCTATATGTCTCGGATGGGCCGTGACACTTTAAAAAAAAGCCTTCGATTCGGTCCCCTCTTTCCCATCAGTCACCCAAAACTTCACGTATTTCATACCGACACTGGCAAACTGCACCCACAGCTGGCGCTTATCCAGTAGTCCAAGCAAACGCGTTTGGCAGGTATATGAGGGCCTCGCCTGTTGCTGGAGGAGGTCTGTTTCAGGGGGGGGGGGGGGGTTTATTATGGTCCGGTGACAGCTCAGCTTCTCTGCTTAAAATAACCAGGGGGACTGCAGATCTATGCAGAGCGAATCTGTGCGCATTAAACACAGCTCCTCCTGGCATCCCGTGCGCAGAGAATGCGCATACTGCCTCTGTTTGCTTTGCAGCAAGGATGTGAAGCCCCCGAAACTGCAAAAAGGTGACCGAGGTCCCCTTTCCATGTCAGCGTCCAAACTGTTTAGAGTGGTTGGTCTGGGATTAATTGAACAATGGTATGGGTTTTGGGGATTAATCTAGTGTAAACAAAGGCAGCAGTTCAGACTAATCCCGTAGGTCTCCTGGCTGTCACTTCAGTGCTAATGGAGGGGCTGCGGATTCTGTAATGTGGGAGCACCGGGACAAGGGCAACACGTGCCGTGTCCCCTCCCCCGTCAGATGTGCCCTAAGCAGGTGGTCTCTTTGCCTCACAAATCCGCCCTTTAACCGCGCTTAAGGATTTCCAGTTCATCTGCATCCCATATAAGTCTGAGGCAGCTGTTTTAAGCCATGCCTTTTAAAGATAATTTAATTAAATTTCCCGTTCCCTTTCCTAACAGCGCACGATCTACAGGGTCCAAACCGGAGCTCCGCATGTACTGCTGACCCAGCTAAAACCACGATTTTCGCCCGAAGACCGTATATCTGCGGTTCCTTCATCCTTCTGGAAGACTGACATCCAGTAGGCTGGCGTGTTAGGCAGATATTCACTATATTACTGGTTTTATTATTACTGTTGTTCTTCTAAAGAACAGTTTAGGAAAAAGGGACCTGCAGACAACAGAATGTACCAACATTTTGTAACACAGTCCACTACAAAAGTCTGATTGAAAACACACACGTTTCCTTTGTTGTTTTGGCACTATATAATGCGAACATTTTGAATGTCCCCCAGTTATGAAATATTAAAGGGAAATCTCATTTTAAAAAGAGGGCCATTCTCCGGAGGCGCTGCATTATTCTTAGGCGGTTGTTAAAATTCTCAGTGCTTTCTGTGCAGTAATCATAATAATGTTGATGAAACAGAATAGATGTCAAACACGATCCATCACAAAATTCCGAATTCGCTGAAACATAAACACGCTCATTGCTGTTAAATCCAGATGTTCGCTTTTCTGGTTTAGTTTTACATTTATGACGAAAGTGGCATGATATTTACATTTTCTCCAATAGACATCTGGTGTTTTACAGTCCGTAACAGAACTATGCTGTTTATAATCACTTTCATTTCATAAAACAGACGAGTTTAGATTGGAATTTGCTTATTTTTAATGTCTTTTTGATTAATATAAAATGACCACTTCAGCTGTACATTCACTAGAGGGCGCCGAGGGACCGATACCCATAAATTAATATCCAATTATGAATAAATCTATGAATAAATTCAATAGATAAAACTAATCTATGCGAATTAAAAATTACGATACCAGTCTGGAGCACTGTGCAAATCGAAAGCAATATTGTAGTCTTGTTAACTTTTACTTTCGACAAAGTCTAAACATAAAAATCTAAAAATGTGCAAAGACATACAGAATTAGCAAGCCCTTGCTTCAGTTTTAAAGAGAGCAGGCTGTGTTCCAGAGATTGTGCTGTGTGACTCAAGGTTTCAGTGGCTCAGGGTGCCAACCTGGGGTAGTCTCTGTTTGCCTAGCTATGGTCGACATGGAGCTGTCTCATGTCTTATTTTCAAAGTGCAGCATTTTTGTGCCATGTAGGTCTTGTTTTTGCATTTCCTCTCTCTAGTTATGACTATTTTTGCAGATTGGATGGAAATAGCCTGCATAAGTACTTCAGCTTTTGAGATGGTGGTATTAGGATCCTATGACTAAACTCTGCCAATGGCTGAGAGGACGTTGGATCTTTCTGTGCTGGGTGCAGGCAAGTGTCAAGTCTTATGACAGGTGCTACCCAGCACAGGACCCGGCATTAGACCCGGCACAAAATCAGTCTCAGTTAGTGCCAGCCAATACTATTTTATCATTGTGATGCTTCTTTTATACAGTTACAGCTGTTGATTATAATTATTTAAAGTTTAAGACAAACTAATCATATCTTGTGACCATGACACTAGCATCTGTGTGTGGGGCCACTCATCACACTGAAGCCATCATGGCTTCACATGATGAGCTTTACTCTGTGGAGCTGTTTTGCAGCATCACACTCTCTTCTCCATGTTTGACTCTCTCATGAGCTCTTTTTGTAATGTGGGTGCTTCCCCAAACACCCCTCCAGCACAGTGATAGCAGAACCCAGGCCACATTCACTCTGTTTGGAGCCCCCTCCATTAATCACTTTCAGAGAGGACCCATCACACTCCTCACCTACACAATGGGGGGAGCTGCACACCATCCCTCAGCTCTGGGAGTGAGCTGGGTGAGTGCACGGGGCACAATACTTAATCTGTCTGTTGCTTCTGTGTGCATCCACCATGAACACAAACCCAAAACCTTATGCTCTTAAAAAGAAACCAACTGACTGCTTGTTTGTGTTTTCAGGTGGTTGGGTTCAGATCTAGAATCCTGCAATAATAATATACAAATGAGTCACAGAGTATATGGAGCCAGAAACATGCCTTTTTTGTCCCTACAGATCACAAAACACCCCCTTCTTCAGCTAAGCAGACATAGCTCCTCTCAAAATAGCAGCAACATTGTCTAAGGAGATCCCAGTCCAAATGTGAATGATCAGAGGGAGCATTGTGTTCCTTCCAGAGAGCCTGTTAGGAGGTATTGTCTCCTGTCAGTCCCAGGGAGTTAATTAAAGCCTGAGACTGTGTATCTTTGATCTGGTCCGTCATGGGGAAGGGACACATTCTGGGCCTCCATCCCGAGTGGCTCTACCCCTGCTCCCTGTTCCAGTGCAGTTGCTATGGCAACCCAAACTTCCTGTCTGAATGGCACTGGGGTAGCAGGCACCTATGTGGACCACCCTAAGTGAGTCCCATGGGCCACACTGAATCACCATCCCAATACTGAATGAATGAATGAATGAATGTTGCTTTTATATAGTGCTTTTCAAGACACCCAAAGCACTTTACAAAACCAATGGGGAACCACTTCAACCACCAGCACACTGCAACACCCACCTAGATGATGCGTCAGCAGCCATTCTGCACCAGTACGCTCACTACATAGTAGCTAAGGTGGTGAAGGGACAGGAGTGAATTCACTAGTTAGACAGAGGGGATGATTAGGAGGCCAGCTTTGATAGGGCTACAGTGGGCAATTGACCTATCCCTGGCAAACAGGCACCTCTGAATGGCAGGACCTCTGATTCTACGTTGCGTAAAGGAGACTGCCAGTGTTTACATTGCAAGGGAGTCTAAGGCCCAATCCCATTTCTCCTCCCTTAGCCCTACCACTAGATTTCGAGGGCCCTCCCTTCCGAGGTTGACTTCACAGATCATAGCCACAAGGGGTAGGGCTTGAAATCTTTACCTAGGAATCAGGACACCACTCGCTTACGTCATCAGCATTGTTTGTAACAATGCAGGCTCAAGGTATGGCGTTGTCGACCGTGTGCACTTTAATCATAATACTCCGTTTGATGAATACTCTCAGAAGACGTCTGCTAACGCTTGTGGATTTTTATGAGATATTGTTTAAAAACGACTCGTGTTTGTGTCAGCTAGAGTGCCTGGCTAAAGTTTTACCTGTCGCTTTACCTGTGTCACAATGTTCATAATATAATGTACCTAATTTTCATTGCTTAATGTATTTGGCATACTATTTCCTTTTATAAATGTGACTTTCTGTGCATGTACACAGCGATTAACATACAAATTAGAATAAACATTTTATGTACCGTTTAGTAAATGCTATTCAAACGCCGCATGCTTATAATATATGTACAATATAATTTTTTTTTTACCTCAACTTTTTTAAAAGTACATGTGCTATATGTGTGCGGATTATTTGTTTTATTGCCCTTTATGCATGAACACATGGAACATTTTAAAGGTAAAATCATTTGTTTGCTCTGATACCATTTAGGTAGCTTTAATGAAAGAGGACTTTAAAGTTAAGTAATGTGTATCAACAATCGGGGGTGAGTTTCCCAAAAGTGTCGTACCCAAAAAAACTACATAAAAGGACTTTGAATGCTCTCTCTCTTAATTAATACATTCTTAATTCTTCGACGGTTTTGTGAACTCACCCCAGCTCGGTTCTTTTTCTATAAATACTACAGAGATACTGCTCTGTCTCTACGCACGGAATTAGCGATTTTCAGAAAATTGTTTTTGAAAAATTCAACCTAATACTTCGTTTCACTCACATTAAACTAAAGGGGCTAAGTGGGGGTATTGGGATTGGGCCTAAAAATAAGCAGTGGAATCCAGAAAGGATTCATACTCAGAAGGGGGGGACAAAAGAACACATATTTGGAGCCTCTCTCCTGTGGAGCACCATTTAAGCATCCAGGAGTAGGAAACCTCAGATAGCACTCCTTCATCTCCAGTATACAGAGAAGTAGGAGGATCCTGAGTGGGCTGGCCACAAACCAGATGCCCTCTACTAGCCTGACTGGCCTGTGTGCATTCTGAGCTGTGTCTGTGCTGCCTTTTCTGAGCTATGGTTCTGTGTGTCTGTGCTTCATGCTCTGAGCCGTGTCTGTGCTGCTTTCTCTGAGCAGTGTCCTGTATTCTGTTTGTGTTCCTGTTTCGCAGTCTGATTAGCTTGCTGACGTGTCACCATAGTGCCACTATGAAGTGAAGGTCACGCAGCATAGGTCACAGGTTCAGATTTATGGGTAATTGGCACTTTTGGTGTTTGGTACGGACTGATCTTTGGTTTTGACCCTGCCTTCCCCTCGGACCACGATTTGGTTTCTGCTAATAACCTGATCCTGGTGAATTGCCCTCAGTGTCCTGGTGTGAGTGTTACAGTTACATTGTGTCAAAGTGCTTATTGTAGTTTCACCAC